AAGCATACAGGTGCTGTCCATGCCTTTGCAGTGAGGTCAGAAGAGGGATGGGAGGAGGAAGGAAGGCTTGTTACCCTTCACACTGCTGACATTTTTTCACCTTGGTCATATATTCTTTATAGTTCTTTTGTTGGGACTGGAGGGATGGCTCACGTTAAGAACACTGCTGCTCTTGCAGAAGACCCAGTTTGATTGCAGCACCCACATGGTGGCTCACAACTGTCTGGAACTTCATCCAGGGGATCTAATGCCTGTTCTGCCTGCCATGGGCACAGGCATGCAAGTGGCACACAGACAACACCCATACACATAAGAAAAATAATAATTTTTTTTAATTTGTTGCAATTTTACAACTTTGATTGCCCCACAAAGGCTGAAAGTAGTGGGACCTGAGCAGACCACATCTGGACAGAGGGCAGGTCCTGAGAGGCCCTGCAGAAATAAGAATTTTCTGTCAGAACTTCCACTGCTTCAGCTGGCATGTACCTGTAACCCAGCTACTCTGGAGATCAAGGCAATAGGTATACTAAGTTTCAGATCAATTCAGGCAGCATCAGTTGAAGGAAGAGAATTTTCCAATTTCTTTTTTTTTAATTTAAGACTTATTAATTTTATGTGAGTACTCTACCTGTATATATGACTTTATGCCAGAAGAGGGCATCAGATCCCACTATAGAAGGCTGTGAGTCACCATGTGGTTGCTGGGAATTGAACTCAGGACCTCTAGAAGAGCAGCCAGTGCTCTTAACTGCTGAGCCATCTCCAGCCCCCTTTCCAAGTTCTTTTTACTGGTAAAGGTAGCTTTTAAACTTAGGTTTTGTTTGTTCTTAAGTACGTAGATATTGAAATCAGATAGATCAAGGTTCAAATCTCGGTTCTACTCCATAGACCTTGGCTGGCCTCAACCTCACAGAGATTCACCTGCCTCTACCTCCATATTTCACTCTGTTCTGTGTCTTTAACATTTTATCAACTTGCTTAGAAAGATCTACGTTCATAAGCTTTAGGATAGAAGACTTAACATCAATAAGATTTCAATGTATAGCGTGGCGGTGGTGGCGCACGCCTTTAAAGGCAGATCTCTGTGCGTTTGAGGTCTACAAGAGCTAGTTCCAGGACAGCTAGGGCTGTTACACAGAAACCCTGTCTCGAAAAACTAAAAAAGAAAGAAAAAAATATTTCAATGTATATGTAAAATTAAAATTAAAAAACCTTTTATTTTATTAGAGCATTACTTTGGATGAGTTCAAGTCATTTTGCCATTTTACAACGCATTTGGAAGACTTTGCTATCGCCATGCAAATGTTTAGCTTAGCTCATCGCCCCGTGAGGCTGGGTAAGATACGGATCATTTCATTTTCATTGTCTGTACATAGTCTCACTGTCGAGTGGATGATACCCATAAGGGGGTGACTAGCAGTAAGATAATGATCTTGTTATTCTCCCTGCATAGCCCTGCAGGCTTACTCAAGAGTCACTTTATCTGCTTTTACTTTCTTATTCTCAAGAAGGGGAAGGACATGGAATTGAATATGTTACTGGGAACCTTGATTAACTTGAAATACCCTGCTTTACCCTCATGACATTTCTCAACCAAATGCATGATTTGAATACTCTCGTGATTTGAGCACACTCAGGATTTGAATACTCTTCTCAAATAATGGGAAATTGTGGATTAAATCCACTTAGACTAATTTACCTGGTTGATCGCGGTTTCTTGCTTTGCCTTGTAGCGGAGTTTAAGAGAGCTGTGAAGGTGGCAACTGGACAGGAGCTCTCAAACAATGTCCTGAACACCATCTTCAAGATCTTCGACCTGGACGGCGATGAGTGCCTCAGCCATGGGGAGTTTCTTGGAGTACTGAAAAACAGGATGCATCGAGGTTTATGGGTAACAGATTTTTAGTTTGTTTATTTTTTGTTTTTTTTTAATCTGTGTTTTTACATGTTAGTAACAATGGTTTTAAACCTAAAATTTGGAGCAATTGAAATATGTTAAATGGAATCTTTATCATTTACACAGAAACTAAACTACAACCAAACCCTGAACTGTCTTTTACAAGAATGATATTTACCATTTTCCTTGCTTTAAGAATAACCTGAGTCTGGGGAAATGGTTCCATTAGTAAGACCCTGAGTTTGGTCCCCAGAACCAGGTAAATGCCAGGCACAGTGAGATGTGCTTAGAATCTCACTTCTGGAGAGCAGAGATAGGTGGGTCTGTGGGTTTTGCCAGCTAGCCAGACTACCCTCCTTTCTGAGCTTCAGGCCAGTGATTGACACCCAAGGCTGTCCTCAGACCTCTGTCATTGTACATACTTATAAACACACATGCACACATACTTGGACATACATGCACACTTGTATATTGAATGTGCACATACATCTGAATCTAATTTCAGAAATCACAGCCTAGTATCTAACCTTGAGTCTGACTTTAGATCTGACCTTGGACTCATTAGATTCGAATTCTGCCCTGTCATGTATTAACTGATGAATCTTTTTCGTTTTTGTTTTTTTAAGACAGGGTTTCTCTGTGTAGCTTGAAGACTGACCTGGAACTCGCTCTTGTAGACCAGGCTGCCCTCGACCTCACAGATCCACCTGCCTCTGCCTCCTGAGTGCTGGGATTAAAGGCGTGCACCACAGCCACCCAGCTAACTGATGAATCTTGAAGAACCACTTAGTTTGTTCCTCAGATACCTCATCTGTATAATGAAGAAAATGATCAATTTATCAACAATACCTATATAGGGAGCTAACTTTGAAGCACACAGAACCCTCAGTACATGTCGTGGCTGCAGCTAGTCACATGCACTCTGACTAGGGGACAGAGAAAGCCCAGAGTTTTGTCTGCATTAGGATCTACTAGAAGTACTCTCATGAAATAAATTCGCATCAGAATAACTTGACTTTAAGCGTCTGCACAGACAGTAAGTAGATAGTTAGGAAGAGAGCCAGATAAAAGGGATGCTCGAGAACTGATGCTTGTGTTCCTAACATAAGATTATTCATTTACAATTAGAAAAGAGATCCCGATTCCCACAGCACATATTATCTGGGGAAAATTAACAAATATGGGTTTCATTACATGCATTTGGCAACATAACCCACCCTCAGCTTTCTTTAGAGAGTATGGGAAGGCAATGAGCAGGGCCACGAGACATGATTCCAGTGCCTGACCTCTCTCTCGGTGACAGGTGTCGCAGCAGCAGAGTGTGCAGGAGTACTGGAAGTGCGTCAAGAAGGAGAGCATTAAGGGAGTCAAGGAAGCCTGGAAACAAGCTTTTTAAGGAAAAGATGCATAGCAATTACATTGTTTGAAGTGCCAGAATTTGTGACATTTTTTTCAAAGAATTAACTTTCTCTAAATCGTCATTGAGTTGCTTTGTAATGTAAAATGCCATGTACTCATTTTCTGGTTCAGGGATTGGGGGAGGGTAGGGGGGTAAAATGTGTGCCACAGTGCGCATGTGGAAGTCAGAGTCCAGCCTGTGGGAGCCAGCTCTGTCCTACCGTGGGAGTCCCAGAGATTGAACTTGGGTCATGAGCTTTGGCATCAAGTGCCTTTACCTAATAAGCCATCTAGCCAGCTCTGACTCAGTAATTTCTTGGTAAATTTTCATTAAAGAATATAATAAAATGAAGAGAAAGTGTTCCTTTACAAAAATACACACTACATTGTCAGAGGCCTGTATGCAGAGTGATGCTGTGGTAAACTGGAGGCCAAGGCTGTCGCTGAGCCCTTGGACATGAGAACGCGAAGTGCTTTCTAAAAGACTAAGCAAG